TATTTTTACAAGGCCTGAGGCCTATATCGGGTAAAGGCCCTTTTACTCTCGCCGGCCGAAATTCGAAGTCCTTTGAGAATCATTTACCTATCAAGGATATAAATTCCTCTCTTTGCATTTTCGTATGCAGATACAATATGAGGTGCATGTTCTAACAGTTCTTCTTTTGTGAACCAGCGATCTTCACTAGGATCCTGGTATGCAAATCTCACCTTATATTGTCGTTGTGGTCTGCCCCTACGTCCAGTGTGGTAAGTACTTTCTGCAACAATCTTATCCACATCATACTTCCCATCCATACTTGGAGGTATCGCTGRTCGGCGACTTGGGAAGAGCTCATTCGTTACACAAGGTAAGAGTTTGGACGCATGGAACACTGGATATGTACGTAGATGAGGAGGAATTTCAATGACATACGAAGGGTCATCCACATTTCCAATTACGTCTACAACTTGCCAAGGTCCTTTATAGGTGGGTAGAAGCTTCTGAGAGATGTTCTCTTCAGGAGCAAACTCTTTAGACTTCACCCAAACTAAATCTCCTACAACAAATTGAGATGGGCGCCTATGTTTATGTGCCTGTTCAATCATTTGATGTTGTGCTTTAAGTATATTTTCTTTTACCTTCCCAATGTCTTTCTGATATTGGACTGCAAATTCACTAGTCCCTATAGGAAGCTTATGTACTTGATCCGGGTTCAACCGATCAATGGGTCTACGTGGACGCCATCCCAGATCTAACTCCATAGGAGTCTTACATGTAGATAGATGTACAGAGTTATTATAGGCACTGGCAACTTTAGGCAGATGTTCATCCCAGTCAATCTGATCAGGACGGATGTACAGGCGTAAAGTTTGCTGCAAAATCTTGTTCATCTGCTCAGTCTGGCCATTAGTCTCAGGATGTCTGCCTGATGACATAGTCAACTTAGAGCCATAGACATTCATCAGTTGCTGCCATTGTTCACTTGTGGACCTGGTATCTCTATCACTCACAATAGTTAAGGGATGTCCAAAGTCTTTTACCCAATGGTTAAAGAATTCCCGAATTACCAATTCAGTCTTTGCTTCCGCAGGTAAAGCTACAAAAACAGCATACTTAGTGAATCTATCCACTATAACCATTACTTGCGTTTTCCCATTCCTGCTTTTGACCTTAGTATCCATGAAATCTATAGAGACAGAGTCTCCAGGGCCGGTAGGGATAGGTAAGGGCTTAAGTGGCCCGAGGGGCGATTGCGTGGTACTTTTGTTTCGTTGACACACTTGGCAACCCTGCACATACGCGATACAGTCTGCTTTCATTCGAGGCCAGGTGTAGGAACGCAACAAAGTTCCGTAGGTCTTCTTCCATCCAAAATGACCTTCTGTATCATGGCATTCCCCCAAGATCATACTTTTAATCTCTTCATTATTAGGTATACACAGCCTATCATTTACATTTGTTCGTTCAAACAATAGACCCTGAGTTACTTTATGATCGGGAAACTCTGTTGGCTTTTCTTGCACTAGCTTAATCATGGTTCCATACATAGGATCAGAGGAATACGCATTCCTAATCTTCTCCTGTAGGTCAGTACCCACATCTAAATAAGTCACAATAGCACCGAAAAATTCTGATCTACGACTTAGTGCATCATCAACAACATTATATTTACCATTTACTGGCTTTAACTCAAAATCAAACATATCAATTTCACCTTGTCAACTTAGGTGTCATTCGCGCTTGTGTTTTGAGCCAGCGAAGCGTTTCATGGTCGGAGTATACTTTAAAATGCCTCCCTAGAAGGTAGTGTCGCCAATGATTGAGAGCCTCACGCAAAGCATACAACTCTCGTTCATACGTTGAAGCGGCCACCTTCTCGTTAGGTAAGCGGCAAGACATAAACTCTACAGGTCTGTACCCATGCCCATCATCTTGCTGGAGTATAGCACCTATACCATATTGACTAGCGTCAGTCGTAACTACAAAAGGTAATGAAGGGTCCGCCACTTTCAAAACCGGATAATTGATCAAA